GCTTGATCTGCTAATGTGAAATCGTAAGTGCCATCTGTGGCTGGGCTTTGGTGCTATACCTGCCATGTGTTGCTGCAGCATTGCTCTGGTGCAACGTGCTGGCCCACTTTCCCCCTGGTTAGGCTGTGTTTCAACTCCTGGATAAGCTTCCCGTTTAGATTTTAATTTACAGGTTTACTAATCTGCTTTCTGGTTTAGGGTTGTCTTGGAGCTGCAGCGCTTCGGACGCTCTGCTGTCTTTTTTTGCAAATGTTTGTTTTGGCCGCTCTCGACAAAACCTGTTGCTGCTTGGACAGGCTGAGCGAGTGGGGCATGACTCCTCTGGCCACATTGAAAGGCCTATGAATTTGGACAGTGACAATTTGTTCCTCCTTGAAGTCCTGGAATTTTTGTCTTTTACCCTTTGTTTGCTTATTATTGAAGTTAATAAAGGGTTTGCTTTTATTTTGAGTTACTAATTCATTTCCTTTTGCATTGCATGTTTTGATTTAATTTTTTTTTTAATAATTTAAATTGCCCTTATTTCCTATGATCCCTTTTCTTTCCAGGGACAGAGTAGTAGGCCTAAAGCCATGTTTTAACAAATGTTTTAAAGAAATTCTTTGATTAAAATATTGCAGACTATTCGGTGTTCTGGTGCATCTTGTTTTAAAAAGTTCCCCCTTTTGCGGGTCACACTGGGAAACTCTTGGAGCAAAGCCAAAGAACAAACAATCCGACCCAGATCTGAAAAGACCCCAGACAGTGTTGACACCAAATCTAGATGACAAAACGTGGCCAAGACTTCAGAGAAACAGGTCTTCTTCAGATGCAAAAAGCTGTTTGTTCCCTAAGCTACTTTTTTTGGACAAGGTAAGCTTATGCAACTAGAAAAATGCAGAAATGTTGAATGTTGGCTGTAGCTTCCTGTCTGAAGCCTCAAATAAGAATGGCACAGATCCATCCAATCGTGAAGAACTTTGTTGTTCACATAGGAATGATGTTGCTAAGAGGAAGTCAAAATTGCAGAGACATGATTAGAGTTCATAACACTGCAAGACAGACTAATTTTAAAGCGTACATTAAGGGCCCTGTCCCGCCACCTTCAGCAGGAAATAAAGTCTTCAGAGTTTCCTACCTGAATAAACTGATCAAATGTGCCTGTTCTACAAGATCAATTGGCTTTATTGATAACATCTTCTGTGAAAAGGGACCCGAATAGAGGAGATGGAATATCTTTGTTTAAAGATCTATGTCAGGAAAATAATTTTAAATCAATTAACTAATTACTCCTCAAAATCTTGATTTTATGTTTCTAACAGACATGGCTGGATAAAAATAATCAGATTTTATTGGAGACTGGGTAGCACCATTTACAAAGGGTCCTACATGGCGAGGATTCATTAATCTGTTTGATTCACTGTCCAAGTACAGGGCCCTTTTCATGTTTCTGAATGTTTAGATGCCCCAGAGTCCAAAAACAAACTTTTTTTTAATAATTTCTAACTTTTATCTGATATGTGTTGAACATGACAGCTTAATTCTTGTGGAGGACTTTAACGTATGTGTTGACTACCCTGTAGACGGGGGTGCAAAAGAACTGAGGGACATGCTTAAGATTTTTGGATTGACTCAACATGTTAAATAGCTAACACACAATTGAGGAAATATTTCGAATTTTAGAGTTTTAAACATGACTGCTTCTCTACTGATATTGCGCTAGTGGACTTTTTTTTTTATCTGTTTAGCATACTTTGAAACCGTTTCCCCCTGATCTAAGTATCAAAAGAGATGTTATAAGAATGCATTCTTGTGGACAGTAGTCTCTGTCCAATCTACAGTATAAAAAGGCCAGTAGTGAATTTGCAAACGTCATTACTTGGAAAATTTACGGTATAAGAAAAAGCAGTCTGTCCACCAGCATCAACTCCAGTACCAATACTGACTCTATTTCAGAAAACTCAGTTAAAATGCTCCAATTCCGCCTAATAAATGTAAGAGTTAGGAAATTGTTCAGCGGCTAAGCTCCTCTTGCTGCTGTCTTGATATTTTACCCACAGGATTTAAGAAGGTTAAACCTGTTTTAGAATTTGATTCGATTCAAATCATAAACATTTCATGTCAAGTGTTTTCCCCAAGGCATAAAAACAGCAATTATCAAACCTTTATCGAAAAAGAGAAGCGTGGACAAATGAATCCCGCAGAACTACAGACCCATCTCAAACCTCCTCTTTATCGGTAAAATGAAAATTGAAAAAGTAGTTTCAACAATTAAATCCTTTAACAATGATCAGCTGCCTAAACATCTTCCAGTC